GAGGTGAAAAGCTGATACAGGTCCAACAACACGACATCCTTTTTGAGTGAAGTTTGCACGTTCTCTTCGTGTCTGCGTAGGTTTCCTCTAGGTGCTCCAGTTTCCCCTACCACTAAAAACATTGCAATAGGTCTGGCATGCGCCTCACGTATGACGACCTTGCTCCCATCTCTGTGAGAGAGTGAGAGAAAAAAAATCCCTAAAAAACAACAATCGTGAAGCGCTTTGTGACTCTGGTCAGTGAAAGGTGCTATATGAATAAAGATTACTTACTTTCCCACTGTTGTTTCTGGTCGACACAGCATTTCAACACAGGGTCATGCAATTGGAATGTATAAAAGATGACAGATCAATATATAAACATACAGATAAAATATTGGTTTGTTTCTATGTGTTTTAGAATTTAATTGTGCAGCACTGAATGGATACCAAAAGTCCCTGGTATCAATATGGATGGAAATCAAATATGTAAAAATCTGGCCAAATGTGGTACTGCAGCCTCTCCCACTCTCCCTGACTCAGGTTGCCAGATAGGCAGACGAATCCAGCTGGAACCATAATATCTAAATAGACAAGATTTTTGTCAACAACAAATCTATAACCAACACCTTTTTCACAAAGATAGAAATCCTGGTTTTATTCCTTGTTTTTTAATGATTTGAGAATCATAACGAGACCTTTTTTAGTTCTGCGGCCACATGGTACTTTACCAGTGGGGGACTGGCTCCAAGCGGTGAGTTCTGGCAACCCGTAACACGGACTTTCTGATTGGTAAAACGATGGAGGGAAGGACATCGAAATGAAAACAAAAACAAGATTTAGGGGCTGTAAAACTAATTTTGAAATCCAAATATCTCTGAACTACTGTTATCAGTTAAAGAAGTATTGGAAAAGAGCAAGTTTAATTAATGCCTTTCGACAGATTAGGGCCCTTTAATGATGACATGACATGCAAATCTTACATATTGCTAATAAATGGTCAAAAACTCCAAAAAAACAATTTGGTAGTAAGGGCGCGTTCACACTTTTCCTCGACAAAGTCTATTTCACTCAAAGCCTTAAAACACAAAATAAAGATTAAAAAAACAAATCAGTTTCTTTTCCTAAACCCTGTCAAACACTCGCACATAGAGAGCAGAATGTTCCTTGTTCTGGAAAAGCTTCTCCGTGACTTTCCTTATCACTGCGCTGCTCCTGTGTCAGTGTTTCCAGTCAGGAACCAGCGGGGCCCCGTCAGCACCTCTCTCCTGCCTTTGAGGAAGCTCACGGTGGCCTTGAAACCATCGCAGCCTTGGGCCACAGCTCTGGAGGTGGAAAAACACACAGGAAAGAAGCCAGGCGCTCGTGAAGACAGAATGGCCCTTTACATGTTTGAGCGGAGTAAACACCAGCTCAGAGATAATGGAGCTAATGTCGCAGCGGAATGAGGTCTTTGAAAAGACAATAGTGTGTGAGCTGCGTCCGGGAGCCTCTGCAGGACTGACGTGTGCAGAATCAACCATCTCGCATGTTCAATCCTCTACATTTCAAGATTCATTTCAAGATTCAGGATCAAGAGACTCAAGATTATTTTATTATGTCCCGTAGGAAATTTGTCTTGGGCTCACAGCTGCTACATTGAAAATGCTCATAAGACAGACATAAAACACAACACAGTGACACAGAAATAAACCATCACTGCTCTGCTTCTGCTGGTGCTATGAGACTTGGGTGGCATCTCTGACTGCCACCCCCCTGACCCAGAAATGGATTAAAGGGAAGAAAATGGATGGATGGATGCTCTGCTTCATGGCCTGTATCCAGGAGGTTCACAGATATGGGTAGGAACCATCCGTAATCGATCTATAATAATATCTGGATAGTGTATTACTAGCTTACAGCTGTCCCACCCATGGGCACAGGGGGCGCCCGTGGTACTGCAGACTAAATTTATGTGGGCTACCCAGAAAAATGTCCAATAGAACTCAATGTAAACTAAAACAGCTTGACCTCAGCTGACAGAGAACCTACAACTTACATAAAGGTCGGATTGTGTGGGGATTTTAATGTCCCTTCTCATCCTGAACTTTTTTTCTTGTTAAAGCCTTCAGTTTTCTTAAAATCCACACTTTACTGCCACAAACTGCTGTTTTCTTCCTCCTCTTGCTCCGCTCTACTGCAGCTCTGATCAGCAGCTCTGATTGGCCAAAGCGCTGCAAAGCCTGTGCATGTGCATGAGAGCACCACACGCGTATTCGCCGCAAACCATCATGGAAGCTCGTCCACTATATAAATATGGGCGAGTTCAGCTAATCTTTTGGTCCCCGTGAAGTCCCATGCACTACTGAACACAAGACATTGACTTGATTAGGACGTCATCTTGGATCACCGGGGATTGGTAGGAACGAGTTCCTACACCAGTTTAGATATCTTTCCTTATTGATTGACTGCGGAACCTTCCGCAGTCAACCATTGGTTTTGTATTTCTTTATTCCGTCATTTTTTTTGACACGTTTCACAGCTTTCACATTTTCAACAATTTCCACAAGTTATACATCAAAACGTTCCACATGTTTGGGAGATTATTGCTATTACTTTTGGGACTTCAGCGATTTCCGGTTTTTCCGCAATCGGACAAAAATCTGCATTGAGAATTCTGCAATGCATTTTAATAGGCCCATGCATTTTAATAGGACTTCAGCTCTTTCAGACATTTCTACAGTTTCAATGATTCAACAGTTTCAAGGATTCAACAGTTTCAAGGATTTCAGCAGTTTCAAGATTTCAAGAGTTTCAAGGACTTCAACAGTTTCAAGGACTTCAGCAGTTTCAAGGACTTCAGCAGTTTCAAGGACTTCAGTGTAATCATGCAACTTAATAGGGATTTTTCCATGTAAACCAGTATAATGCAACTTAATAGGGATTTTTCCATGTAAACCAGTATAATGCAACTTAATAGGGATTTTTCCATGTAAACCAGTATAATGCAACTTAATAGGGATTTTTCCATGTAAACCAGTATAATGCAACTTAATAGGGATTTTTCCATGTAAACCAGTATAATGCAACTTAATAGGGGTTTTTACATGTAAACCAGTATAATGCAACTTAATAGGGTTTTTTACATGTAAACCAGTATTATGCAACTTAATAGGGATTTTTCCATGTAAACCAGTATAATGCTACTTAATAGGGTTTTTTTTTCATGTAAACCAGTATAATGCAACTTAATGGGGATTTTTCCATGTAAACCAGTATAATGCAACTTAATAGGGGTTTTTTTACATGTAAACCAGTATAATGGAACTTAATAGGGATTTTTCCATGTAAACCAGTATAATGCAACTTAATAGGGTTTTTTTCATGTAAACCAGTATAATGCAACTTAATGGGGATTTTTCCATGTAAACCAGTATTATGCAACTTAATAGGGATTTTTCCATGTAAACCAGTATAATGCAACTTAATAGGGTTTTTTTCATGTAAACCAGTATAATGCAACTTAATATAGGGTTTTTTTCATGTAAACCAGTATAATGCAACTTAATGGGGATTTTTCCATGTAAACCAGTATAATGCAACTTAATAGGGTTTTTTTTTTACATATAAACCAGTATAATGGAACTTAATAGGGGTTTCAAGGATTTCAGGAGTTTCAATGTTTCAACAGTTTCAAGGATTTCAGGAGTTTAAAGGTTTCAACAATTTCAAGGACTTCAGGAGTTTCAAATATCTATCAAGTATTTTAACAGTTTCAAGGCCTTTTAAAGGATTTCAAGGATTTTTTTTAGCAGATTTCCACATTAGATCTGTTCCGCAGTCAATCGCAATGGCTTCAGCCATTGCAAGTTTCTAGTTTCTCATTGGTTCTCTGTAGCGGTGACCTGATGATAAGAGCTCATATTGAGAATAAAGGACATAAGAAGAGTCTTCTGAGGTGATTTTCTTTGCCTGTCTCAGAACAGTCTCCTCAAATATCTGCTGCAAAGATGGATACTCCCAACTTCCATGGGCTGTGCGCACCGATCTGTAAAGTTCTGCTTTTGTTTTGACAGTTACATTCCCAAATAAATGTTCATTTGCCATTTGCTGTGAAACCACATTGGAATAATTGTGCAAACATACCCCAGAGTGCACCAGACCGTACAATCCAGAGCCATCTTCCTCTGCGCCATTTTGTGCCTGTGTGCCTTGTTTGGGTCAAGCACTTGCGATGCAACTGCACCGGCACATTACAGCAGTAGATTTGTGATGTGTCTTGTCTCTCTGCGTCAGTTGGATTAGACCGCTAATATGCACCTGCTCAGCCCAGTGTCTGTTTGTTATAGCAACATGGTTCTCATCTCCCGTCTTGGTTACCTCCACCACCAATGGTTTGTGGATAAAATTGTTAAGACTTATTTATTACTAAATTTATTGTTTATTTTGGTTGGCACAGTGTTAATGAACACATCACTCCGGATCGTAGCCATGGGCTAATTTCCATCTGTTATCCCACATTCGCACTCACAAACACACTGATTCACCCTAAACTATTGCAGATGTTTTTAGTGGTAGGGGAAACCGGAGCGTCCGGAGGAAACCGGAGCGTCCGGAGGAAACCTACGCAGACAAGGGGATAACATGTAAACTCCACTCAGAAAGGCCCTGTTCTGACCAGGATTCAAACCCAGAACCTTCTTGCTGAGAAGCGAGAGTGCTATCCACTCAGCCACCGTGCCACCCTTGGTTGAACATCTGCATTCCTATAAATCAAAGGGTTGCGTTCGTGTATCAGTTCACTGCTAACTTTGTTTCCATGAAGTTACTGGTGCCTGATAGCATTTCTATCCACAACCGTGGAGTCAACAAAATACACATACTGGTACCTCGCTTCTACCACTGTGCCCCAGGGCAGCTGTGGCTACAATAGTAGTTTTTCGCCACTGACTGTGTATAGTGTGAATGAATAATATTGTGTCATGTATCTTTGTGTGTCCAATAAACGATGCATTATTGTTATTATGGTTCTTTTTTTCCAGGCTGTGGTCCACTATGCTTGTCCACCTTCGCCTCTGAAGATGGACATGTCCCTCCAGCAGCAGCGTGGTTCCGGACCCCTGCGCCCCTCACAGTTCTAGCTGGGATTTAGCAGCCTCCTGTGGCCTCCGGAACAGATGTGTCTGGGTTCGCAGGTGCAGCAGTGAGCCATGGGGAAGGAGCAGGACTTACTGGCAGCTGTGAAGAGTGGAGACCTGCTGCTGGCCCACAAACTGCTGGCCAGAGTCAAGGGCAACAAAGCGAGTGAGTACTGGCCTCGGGCGCAATTTCAAACACAATCTTGACTCCCAGGGAACGTCTCAACTCTCAACCCTGATAAGACACTGATAGAATAGTGCTAGACTCACAGTTGTTTTAGAGTGGTTCTTGCAACTTTATCTTGTTTATATTGTCTTTTACATCACAGAGACATAAAAGAGGGCTCCAAAGCTTTGGTCCAGCCACAGAGAAGGCCCTGTCCCCCAGGTTTTAAGTCTCGTCTAAGGCCTTCAGACCTCAGCGTGCAGGGTTGATGGTAAATTTGGATGAAGTCCGAGATGTATTGTGGGGTCTGTCCATTAAGATCTTTAAAAACAGACAAAAAGATCTTAAAATCCATTCTAAAACCCTTACAGTTTTGGACAACTGTAAGGGTGAAAGTACATGAAGGTTATAAAAAAATTCTTTGCATAATGACAGTGGAACAAGCGGTGTCACAACATCAAAGTTTGAAATGAATAGTGATATTATTTTTATTATTATTCAGGTATATTGTAGGAGGATTTTCTACTTCTGGATGAATCATGAAAACTATTGGTCCTCCCAATTGTCAATCATTATGGTGATACATGCTCGTCAAATAAGACCAGAAAGTTTTTTGACAATGAGAGTGACATTTGACAATGTGAAATTTATCGACTAAAACAGTTTCAATACATGAGACATTATTACAGTGCTGTGTTTAAACTGATAACAGTTTGTGGAAAGTAGCTGTTAGCAAAACAAGATGTCCTGCAGAAGAAGCTGGAACATGGCTTTTCCAGGGTGGTCAGAACTGCCACCCAATTCACAAAGCACCAGCCCCTCTCTGATCCTCCTGCAGGGGGTGGGTCCACAGGAAGATGGCTGCTCCTTCAACAAAGATACAGCCTTGTTGTTTCAGCGGGGGCTTCAGGCAAAGTGGGGTTAAGTGTCTTGCCCATTGACACAATGACAGCAGACATCAGTGGAAGCAGATGACATGGGTCGCTGATTACTTCCAAAGACCAATGCTCTACCAACTGAGCCACTGTCGCCCCCTCCTGGCTGGCAGATTATTTGGGTTTAAAAATGTTTCCATGCGGTGATTCCGCTCTCTGCACAAACCCAGTTCTTTCAAACTTCCAAAAGCCTCCAGATGTCATCGTCACATCCCCGCGGCAGGCCCGGGTGACGACAAGCCCTGACACCATTGAGAGCAGCCATGAGCTAATCTACCCCTCGCCTTCGCCCCGTGCGCCTGTCCTTATCAGGGCCTATCCCAGTGCGGGCGGGACACTGGCTTTGTTCACACACATCTCTGCGGCTGGTGGGTGCCCGGGGAGCCGAGACCGGGCCCTTGTCGCAGTCACAGTGGCGGGCTTTCATCAGCGCGCCACAGACAAAGAGCGCACTGTCAGATCGTGCGCAGGACAATCGCCTCTTACTCTCCCATTTGTGTGTTTGTTCAGATTTTATTCAGATTTTCTGTATTCTATTCCATTCATTAATAATAATAACACCACCATACTACAGAGATGGTTCTTTATCTGCACCCGTAGACTGAAGAAAGATGCTACAACCTCAAACACCAATGGGGAAGTGCTCATGGACAAACTTTTGATCCAACTGGCTCTGGCTCCTACAGTATTTACTCATATTGAGATTGAAAAGTAAGCTTTTTTAAACTCCAAACGTGAGCGAATTAAGGATCGACCAATTGGATGTCTTCATTTACAGGGGAATACTCCTGCTGCCTTAACAACTACCTTGGCAACCACCTTAGCAACATGTCTGCCTCTGTTACGGCATGAATGTTGTCGGATCAAATGCCCATATAAATAAATTAGCTCCAGCTCGCATATGTTCAAATTGGCTTCTTCTGCATTCATCAAATACTATAGAGTGACATTCAATTTCATTTATTCTTGTATCGCCCTATTTTACAACAGTAGTTATCTCAGAGGACCTAACAAAACTGTTGAATTCGCCAACACAGATAAGAAAATCAAACAGTTCAAACACAATAAATGAAACAATGATACAGTGAAAAACACATCGAGCCATTGTTCCATAAGGGGCAGAGACCAATGTCCATAAATTATGATAAATGTTCATAAATGCTGTTGATTGTTGAGTGTCCTGGATCATCATCACAGTCCTTTTTGTTAGACACTAACTGTCCAACACACTCCTGCATCAGAGGAAAAACTCTAATACCCAGTGGGAAAAAGTGAAAATTCTCGGGGAGATCCTCATTGAGAGAGGGATCCGCTCCACACGGACGGACGGGCTCTAGATCCAGGACTCAGGCTGTAGAGCGAGGACAGACAGGCTCATGCAGCCCACGAAGCAACAGATAAAGCTGACAAATATGGATGGATGGACTGGGAAAGGACCTTACTCGACACAAGACATTCACAAATCTATTTAGACAGAAGGGGCGGGGGGATGTGTTTGTGCGAATTAGAGCCAGAGGTATCAGAGATAAAAAGAGGAAAAGTACTGTCACATGTTTAATGCTCAAAAGAGACCATCTCATTGTGTGTGCGTTTTTGGGGAGTGTGTGTTTGTGTTGCCACCCCCAGCCCCATGAACAGCTCTGAGCTCACAGTCGATAATCATGGATCCGACACTGACCTGCTTTCCACAACAGACTGGTGTGGCACAGGGCAAATGATCAACAACATACGACTGCACGGTTTTGTGAATCAATCAAATTAATTTAAAAAAACACTACACAATTTTGCAGCACAAAGAGAGATTGCTCATGAAATTCCAAATCCCCCTCAACCAACACAGAGATGGACTATTACCAAAGCAAAGCAGCAGGTCCCACACTGTAAAAAAATACAAATAAATTATGAAATCAAGTAAAATACTGCTTAAAATTATGAAAATAATGCTAAAATGATCTGCAATAGAACAAGCAAATATGACTTGACCTTTCTGAAAATAAAAAAAATAATACTTGCCCCAAATGACTTCTAGTTTAAAAACATACATTTCAAGTATTATTTACTTATTTCTTAAACTTTTTTGAGATTTTTTTTTTTAAATTTATAGCATCACAAACTTATTTTATCCAAAAAGTTGTCTGGAATTAAGAAAAAAATACTAAAAACAAGCTTTAAAACTCACTGCTCAGACTTTTTTCTCTGAGATTATGAAGTATTATTATCTGAAAACTTACATGACAAACTACATTCAAGCAAAAAAAGACAACTTGCTATTCAAAAATAAGCATCATTTATATCATTTTTAGTACCTTTTTCAACATAATGCAAAACATATATTCACTGACCAACAAACATAATCGATTCAAGTTTCAAAGTCATATTAGAATACGATCCGTTCTCAGGCCACGCCTCCTTGAACTGGTGGAGCTGATATCGCACACATAGTTGTGTAGTCGGTTGTCAGTCGTAACACAAAGGGCATAATGAACAGAGGGTGATGCAATGTATTAGAATATAATTTGATATAAATATAAACATAATTATGTATGAAGTGGGAAGAGGGTTTGAGTTGCTGACAGACTGGAGAATAGTGAACTGCATGAGTTAAAAACCAAAACAATCCAAGCTGAGGATAATGGATCTGCAGGACCTTCAGGGAGGAGCTGACGGCTGTGGTTTTGAGCGAGGCCAGACTGAACTTGTCTGTTCCGCGCAGTCACAACAACTGCAGCTGATGACGGCCTTTCTGTTCTGTGCAGCATCAGTGTTGGCTTTACACACCTTTGGAAACATGAGAAGACCGGAGACTAATCCCATTCCACATATGGCCATCTGTCCGTTTGAGGGACTAAAAACATCCATAAAGTTACACACATACTATAGTACTATACTTTACTGTACTTGTACTTGTATAATGGACACAAAGCCTCCAATGGGGATCAATAAAGTATCTATCTATCTATCTATCTCTATCTATCTCCATCTACGTATCTCTCAGGTCTGAGGTTTTGTCATAGTGTAATGAGTTTATAAACAGAACATTTGGACAGAAGGGTCAGGGGGACACGATTCTGTTGTTGATATTAATGTGGATGGAGCTAAAACAACTCCGGGTCTGTTTTTACCAATGGAATCATTTTGTAAAATGCTTAAAAGCTCAAAAAAGGTAATTTTTGGTAAAGTTTTGATGCACCGGTGATTCACATTATGATCACATTGTTGAAATTTATATTTAAGTGCCAAATGCAGTGATTAGGAAAGCGTCAACTGTGTGTGTAAACAAAGCTGTTTCCAGTTGTGGGGGCCAGGTATTCAGGCAGAGGTGGTGGGGTAAGTTAGGGGCCACACCGCACACCTGCCCTGGCCCCTCAGGCTGCAGGGGCCCCAGGTCAGGGATCATCAGCACCTCCAATGCTAAAGAAATGGTTATTATCAAACCAGACTTGCTCTGACCGTGCATCCTCTCTGCTCTGGTCTGGATCATTGTAAAACCATGAACACTGTACTGCAGTAAAATCTACAGCTAGAAAAAGAACGATTGTAAAGCACCTTGTCCAGCGCATTAAAAAGTAATGGGTGGACCAATAAGATGCCTTCATTTTCTGGGAGAAAGCTTACTTCAGCAAATGTTTTAGCAACACTACAACACCATGCTAACAAAGCAATGCTAATGTCACGGAAGAAATGCCCAAAAGAAAATTGGCTTCAGCTTGTCCAGACAAACGCTCAGATTGAGATTCGTAGACCCTCCAGCGGGTCTTCTCAAGGTTCTGTAACGTCCAGGCGTCCAGGAGGCATGGAAAACAGATAATTGAGCCCCCGATACCAGCTCCTCTGGACATTTTGACTGCTTCAATCCCCAAAGCTCATGCTACGCCAACCTCCATCCGTTCCTCACTGAGAACAAGATTTAAGAGACTAGAACTCCTTCAGAGAGGACAAAGCACATTTTTCAAGTCAAGAACCTTGGTCTCTGAATTTGGAGGTGCTGATTTTCATCCAGGCTCTTCTCGCTTGGCTGCAAACAGTTTTATTTAAGTTGTTTTCTACACATGCCTTTTGAACATTTGCCACATCAATCATTTATCAAGATGCAAGTTTAGGATTCAAAATGCAACCCCATATTGCGTCTGCTGATGTAACGTCCGAGCGAGGGTGAGCTGGTGGGCCGTCCCGGGAGGATTAGTGATGGACAGGGAGCTGAGGGCGAGGGTTGTGTGATCCACCATCTGCTGACGTCAGGTCCACTCACGCTCAATGGACTCAAGAGAACTTATCAGTCTTTTCTTCGCACGGCTGACCTACACCCAGGCTGGAACAAGACCTCTTTTTTTTTTACAAGCTGTCAGTGAAATGGCACATTGGGCAGTAGTGTAAAGAATTGCTGTCTTTTCTTTACCAAAAATAGTGATTCATGCTCTTGAAAATTATCAAAACATAGAGACAAATGTTGATGATGTAGAGACTTCTCTCCTAGCCTGGAGACACTGCAGGATTCCCCCAGATGAGCTGGAGGCAGTGTGTGTGGAGAGGGAAGCTTGGGCGTCCGTGCTTAGACCGCTACCTCCACGTTCCACAATGAACGATTTTAACAGACTTTATTGATCTCACACTGGAGAAATGTACATGGGTATATATATTTTGGCAGGGCAGGAAGACAATACACGCTTGTCTAATGTGTTCAGACTTCAGAAGAGCAGGACATGGTGGGGTTAGTGCTGCGATGGGAGACCTCGGGGAACACCTGGGGCCCGGTGTGTTGACTTTGTGACGGTGGAGATCAGAGCCGTGGGAGGGTGTCATGGGTGTCATTGTCCCAACACACAGGTACACGCACTGCCCCGCCCACTGCTTTATGCCTGTGAACACACACACACCTGCAGATGCTCACACACACACATACAAACACACAGATGCTCACACACACACATACAGACACACCTGCAGATGCTCACACACACGCACACACACACATTCACACTGCTTTATTCACGTGAATACACATACACACATATACACACACCTGCAGATGCTCTCTCACACACACACACACACACACACACACACACACACACACACTGCTTTATTCCCATGAATAAACACACACACACACTCACAGACACACACACACACACATACACTCACCTCACTGTCAGTCCTGTGTTTAGCACCAATCACGCGTCTCCTTTTCCCGTGTTTGCACATCAGCAACAGCCATTCTTTTCTGTAAGAGCTGAAAATTCTAAAACAACTTTGAATTATGAGAGAAGAGGTGAAAGACTGTTGAGGGCTGAAATAAAACTAGAGCAGACCAGTGGAAAAGACCTTTAACCAGGAGAGTTCTACAATACACAATACAATTTATTCTTGTATAGCCCTAAATCACAGCAGTAGTCATCTCAGAGGATTAACCAAAGCATTGACATCGCCAGCACAGATCAGAGAATCTACAGTTAGTGGAGGGGCCAGTTCTAAAATCTCCTGGTCCCACAGGGGAGGACTAGTGGAAGGTTAAGCTATACTTATCCTCGAAATAGGGAGAACATGCAAACTACAGTCACTGGACCACTGTGTTTCGCTTCTTAAATTGTTCTTTGTCTATAAAGAACTTATGTTATGTTTTTAAGGCCTGCATCAAACTGATCTGAAGTGTTCAGAGCTCCAGTAGAACTGAGGAGAGAGTTCTTGTGGGAGCCTAATTCTACTCGGGTCCACGGCTGTAAGTGTAATTTGGAAACGCAGAGGTTTAAAAGCGCTCTTCACAGTGTTCTGCAGTATGAATTATTCAGAGCTTCGACAATGATTCGGACTTCAGGATCCTTTCTTCCCAGCAGCAGGCTGTGGACGCCGGGCTCATGCTGTGCTGCACTGGTGCGAGAGCGGCCTCATGTTTGGACGGTCTGAGTGTAAATGTACGAACCAGAACAATTACATGAACATTTGAGCGCAGTCTTTACATCCAATATACTTGTTTGAAAATATGGAGAAAAGAGAGACTTTGTCAAAGTAGAGCTGGGCAAAAAAACAATATATATCGTGATAGAAAATTGGGTCGATAGAATTTTTGATAATTTCACTTAACTCTGTTGGAAAAAAAGTGGGAAGAAATGCAGTGTTGCATCACAAGATACAGAACAGAGGAGCACACAGCACAAGATACATGAACAACTATACTAAAATACACAAAAATCTCTAAATTTTCCATAATAATTATTCTAGTGCAAGAATGATCTATTTTTGAAGAAGTATTTAGCTGATTATATGAAAACGAAGAGGGTTTATTTTTTACACGTATGTCAGCCTTGGAAACGTCCTTGATAGAAGCCGTATCGTTTGAAAGGAGTTGGTCCTGACATAAACAGTCTGGATGTCATGGTTTTTGGGTGTCAGGTCTCAGAGGCACTTTCTCTGCTCTTCAGAACAGGATGAAAGCCCTGCAGGGACACGCTGTTGTCTGTGAACAAACAGTGGAAATAGGTCAGAAACACACTTCCCATGTGGAGATGTATTATAAGAGTATAGCTCCGAAATAAATAAGCAGGAGAGATAGGTGTCAGGAGGGGATGATGCAAAAACTTAAAAATATAATATGGTGTGGCCTAAAAGAGGTGCCGGTACACTTTTGTTTTGCCGGGAGGGATTTATTTACAACTAAAAAAATAATTACTTATAAAACATATGTAGACACCTGTATAAAATAAATCCATTATATACATTTGTTTATGGTTTATGCTTGAGCTAGAAAAATAAAATGAAAATGAAAAATTGCAGAACATATGAGTCTGAAAGAGGTTCATTTATTTACTCCTATAATATACAAAAACAGATTCAGAATCAGAATCATTTTTATTGCCACGTAAGTAAAAGGAAGTCACAGACTTGGAAATTGCTTTGGCTCAGTGCAACAGTCAGAAAGAGATAATAAAAATAAAGAATTTTTATTTTAAATTTAAAATAGAGTTACAGTTACTATTTACAATATACAAGTGCACATGGTGCACACAATGTAAGGTGACAGCAGTACAGTGAAGTAAAGTGACGTATGATGGGCAGTAAAGTGACTTTATAAAGGGCGGGGGGACAGGTTAAGAAGTGTTCAAGAGTCCAACAGCAGAGGGGAAGAAACTGTTCTTGTGGCGGGAGGTTCTAGTCCTGATGGACCGCAACCTCCTGCCTGAGGGGAGTGGTTGGAATAGTCCATGTGCAGGGTGAGAGGGGTCGGCTGTGATACGACCAGCCCGGCCTCGAGCTCGGGCGACGTACAGGTCCTGCAGCGATGGATGGCTCGGTCCTTCTATGCTCGGTCCGAGCATAGAAGGACCGAGCATAGAAGAACCGAGCGTAGAAAGAACGGGCGTAGAAGGACCGAGCGTAGAAGAACCGAGCATAGAAGAACCGAGCATAGAAGAACCGAGCATAGAAGAACCGAGCGTAGAAGGGCAGAACGTAGGAGGACCGTATGGGTAAAAAAACACACACACAAAAGTCTTTCTAATCTTCTACATTATTTTGAATAAAGGATTATTCAATAAGGGATTGAATAATTCCCAAAGGCACATTGGTTGAAAATCACTGCTCTAACCTGTCCCACTCCCCCCTCTTATGTTTACAAGACCATCTGTACTCAGGTCAGATTAGCCCAGATTAAGTCACAGGTAGTTTCATTTCTCATTAACTGTAAAAGCTGTAATCTGTCTGCGGCTTCCACCTCGCTCTCAGTCGTGTTGTGTTTGTGGCGCTGCTCATTCACAGCTCGTTTGCCACGGACAGTAGCGCAGCTTTCATTGTGGTCGTTCTGACTGTTAACCGGCTGAGTGAGCTCGACGCGGCGGCAGAGCGTATGAGAACAAGTATCGGATGTACACACATTAATCCAGAGCCACACCTCCTGGTCCCGACAGATGGGAGAGACCGTCTGGGTCCGCGCAGGAATTTAGCAGAGGAATTAGGAGCCTAGACACGCTCCTAATCTCACCTCAGCGCAAACATTCAGTCCAAAAGCTTGGCAAACATATCTTAAACTGACACACCCGGAGAAGTATGAGAAAGCAAGTGATTTAGGCCACTCTCTCAGTATACATGAGGGTCAGACCTCTCTTGTCTCAGTATACATACAGACTACTTTTGTCTCAGTATACATACAGACTCAGACCACTCTGTCTCAGTATACATGAGACTTAGACCTTTCTTATCTCAATATACTTGCGGACTCGCCTCTTGTCTCAGTATACATGCAGACCTCTCTTGTCTCAATATACATGCAGACCTCTCTTGTCTCAGTATACATGCAGACCTCTCTTGTCTCAATATACATGAAGACCTCTCTTGTCTCAATATACATGAAGACCTCTCTTGTCTCAATATACATGAAGACCTCTCTTGTCTCAATATACATGAAGACCTCTCTTGTCTCAATATACATGAAGACCTCTCTTGTCTCAGTATACATGCA